TTTCTTTCCTCGAAGGGGGAGCGACATGCTCTACCATTTAACTGAGAGGTTGTACTTTAACCGCCATAAAACTGTTTTAATGCAAGAATTAGTAAAGGAAGATTTAAAAAATTTGAAACTTACTTTTCATGCAGTTAAGATAAAGTTAGCTGAATCCTTTTGTTCAAAAGTACGACGTTGATTGGGATTCTTAATGTGCATAAAACGTTTAACCTTTTAGATTTTTCTGTACCATTTATCTTAATATTTCTCATATTTTTTTCTAATTATTTTCATTCTTGCCTCATACAGGAATAAATTTCGAATCTTTGATTTTCATACTGTGAAGTAATAACTATATTTTTTTCTGGTTTAATACTGAAATAAAGAATTAAAATTTTTAGTTTTACATCGCATTTTAAACTAATTATTAAATAAATAAATTCAATTATCTATTGTCCTGAATAATACTGAAAATTTTAATTCTTTGGATTAAAATAAACTCATAAATAAAATTATAAAATAAACAAATAATAAGTAAAATTACTCGTTTATTTATAATTTTGTAGTATGGTTTATTTTTATGGTCTGATACTCTCCGCTTTGCGCTGAGAGTCAAAAGCAATTCTAGTATATTGAAGTTTAATGATACTTATCTTATTTCTAGAGTTCAAACCTTATAAAGAAGCATCTGTTTGGAATAAATGCTTAGTATTATCCATATCAAGTCAATTTACCGTTAGGAGGTTCAAAAATACAAGAAACAATAAAAATACTGATTGACTATTTTTCTGTAATAAATTTTTTTTGTCGTCTAAGCGAATGATAAAAAGATATGAAATCGAAGTTTGATTGAAAATTATATATGAAATCTCAATTGATTCTGAAGTTAAATAATAATTCTAGAGCAACTGAGTTCAATCTACGTATTACGGTGTATATAATGAGACTTAAAAATAGCAGTTATATAATGAGACAATAAAATATCAATTCTCGGATTAAAACAAGATTCATATTTTTAAACTTTTGCTAACTTACATCATATCCTTAAATATTATATTTATTATTTATACAGAAATATATAGCATATAAAAAAAGTTATGTGGTGTAACATTTGAGGATTATTTTCTGTTATTTAAATAATTTAAATGAAAAAAAATTGAATTCCTGTTTAATATAGTTTTTATTTATTTAATCTTTATTCTAAAAATCCCGGGCTGATACTAATTATTTGAATATATTTGGTTTCATAATCACGTAAAGGTAAATAAATAAAAAAATAATTTTAAGAAGTTAAAATTTTTTGATGATGTATGAAACTCAGAATTCACGACTATTTATTCTTCGGCTGTATTATATTTGAAAACATTGTACATAAGCTGAAGTTATTTATACTCTTATTTATGTTTCTTAGATCTATAAGCTGAAAATATAAAAGTAAGATCAAAATTTTCCATTTTATATACCTTTCCTTTATATTTAAACAAGCTCTTATATTTTTAGACTTTTATTGTGTCCAATGTTTTAACAACTTAAGTTCTATTAATAGCTGTTCTAAAGCTAAAAGTTGTTTATTATGCGCGTATGCGCATAAACAAAAATGAGCGCTTGATCTTAAATGGTTAAAATGCTTAAACGTTAACGATATTAGTAATTCAATGAAGTGGAATTAGGTTACAAAATACTCCCAAAACGAACAATCTATATCCTTTCACGCGTACGATCTTATTGCGGTTAGAAGAAACAATACCGTTCTTGATGAGATTCTTCATTTACGCCGTGAATAATTTCGGCAGCTCTTCCGGTAACCTCGCGACTTTGAAAATGTAGTTCAGTACTTTGGAGTTGCACCCTATGACACAACAGCATCTGTTTTCCCTGCCTCGAACTAAAAGGGAATTTTGGCGACGAAAAGGGATTTTAATTTCCGCTTCTATTTAAACCAGAGCTTCGAAATTCAAAATAAGAACTTTTATGGATCTATATTTAGATTTAGCAATTAATGCTACTGGTTAAAAAATCGTAAAAATTAGATAGCCACACTCGTTACGTTATTGTTTCATAAACAATGCCAGTAAGAACATATGAATTGTAAAATCGAGAATATCATTTCCCTGAATATTAAAAATATGGATTTAGAAAATGCGTTTATTCTTTACATATACAGGTTATTGAAAATAATACCACAGTTACAAGCAGAAAAAGATGAGATATTAAAATATGTCCTCAGGTTTTTAGCATGTGAACAATGAAAATTGTAATTTGTGAAACTACATAGCGTTCATTAGTTTTCCAATATTTTAATCTGTGCTTTTTTAAAAATTTTATTTAACTTTGTTAGGCTTTTAATAAAACTTAAAAAAATAAAAGATTTATTTATTTATTTATTTTTTTTTAACGTAAGGGAATCTCAAAGCAGCATTGAGTAGTATTGTGACCGATGTTATGCAATCGAGCGGTAAAATTTAAATCTTAAATGGATTTTAAGTTAGGAAGAAATAAAATATGCAAAATATGAATTAAATTCTGCAAACGTTAATTAGTATTTTACCTCCTTTTGCTTAACTATAAAAAAACTAGACATTGTAATTTAAACATAGACTTTTCTCTTAAAATCAGTTAAAAATATTTCGTATATTTTACCTTTTAAACACTTTGAAGCACATTTCTGGTACTTTCATATTAGCAACACCACTTCAAAAAGCTTTAGTATCAAGCCACAAAACATCGCTATACATCGTTACATAAACGAAAAGTCACCGAATGTAATTTTGAGAATTTTCAACGTCAGTAAGTGGTTGTCAAACAAATTACTTGGCAAAATGCTTCAGCAACTTTCAAAGAAGATGTTTCCAATAGAAAAGTACCAGTTTTTCTTGTGCTATTATTTTATAACTCACAGCTGTCTGAATAGATTTTTATCACATCATAAAATGCAACACTTTTACTGATTTACATAAATGCATAAAGGGAAAAAAACCTGATAAATTTGATTTAAGTCAGTATTTTATAAAATTTTCTTCTAGGATGAACAAAACCATAGTTTACAGGCCATTTTCTTTTATGGTATCCAGCTTAAAATGTTCTTTAAAATAAATATGCTGTTTATACTGTTTTATTTGAAATATTTTAATTCTTTGACGTTTGTAATTTAAGTATACGAAAACACTGAATTTTCTCAAATATGCATCTTTTTCCTAAGAACGTCACAGGAAACCAGGTAATCAACTGCTTATTATTATGATAGAACAAAGATATTTTTCACATTGTTTTTAAATATTTTGCAAGTTAAGCCAGTTTTTAGAAGAAAGTTCTGACAAGACATTCTTCTTCTGCAATTAAAATTTCAAAAAATTCTGAAAAATAAAATAAATATTAAATGTTTTAACAGCAATCGTTTCTTTTAAATTTTAAAATTTGCAATAAAAAACTTATTTTCCTGTTGCATATGTTCAATATATATCTTTTATAAAAATTGTAAACATTATACTTTTTTTTTAACTCCTAGAGTTTTTTCTTTCAGTTCTTTACAAAATCAAGTAGTATGCCTTATATTTTCCTGCAGATTTCACTTTTATCATTCATATTTGTTTATTATCCGAGTTTTGTTATCCTAGCTTAGGGTTTCTTCTATTCTCATACATATATGAACGCCTTCGTTTCATTCACAGAATACCTCGAATTCAAGTACTGTATTGTATTGTATTATTCAGTTATGGCAAAGCACACGAGGTCTATCTGCCTAAAAGGAGGGATGCCTTCGTGGAGGATTTTCTAAGGGAAACTGGCTCGTATACACGTTACACATGGGTAAAACCACGAAAACGGCCCATGCAGCCAGCCCGTTCGCGGGATTCGAACCTCGGACCGAACTACCAGTGTTCAGCGTCTTTACCGCTCGGCCGCTGGTGGGCCGAATTCAAGTACTGACTTAAATCATTAATTAACTAGCTATGGTACAACAAATACTAGTGATCACGGAGATGCTAGATTTAGAATGTGTATAGATGAAATAAAAATTGCACGGAAACAGAAAAACCTGCGAATTATAGCCTGATATTTAGACTGGAGATGAGATGTAATTATATCCGTCTAACTACTGCATATTGAGCATACAGAAGGAATATTAGATAAACTAACTTGAAATGCTTTTTTTTTTTTTTTTTTTTTTTTTTTTTTGCAAAGGGTCCAAAACCAACCAAGGGTAAAACTGCTGAAGACAGGTAGTTCGACCTAGGTTGAAATCCCGTGGGAACCTCGGGGTTTTCCCTATGAAATGCCAATAGCAGTCCGTTTCCCATAAAAAATCATATGTCCTGAGCAGAAAACCCTTTCATGCTTCGAAGTAATCTAATCCAAATTTTTTCAAAGAATCGAGCACCATCACTTTGAATAGTTTCTGTTTTTAAAATATGCTATGGAATGCAAATGTAAATTATTTAAATATTATCTAAAAAAATAAAAGATAAACAGAAGCATCCATTATTACCTCAGCTGTTTAATGACCAGTTAGAATGAACGTATTTTAAGCTTCATTTTCCATAAGTATAAACAGGGATAACTTACCCAAACTTAACTTCTATCAAACTTTATTAATTTCAGCATTTTAAAAGTAAATTTAAGCCAGCTTTAACATTTACAAGTACTATTTTAAAAATATAATTTTTTGTGTTTGTGAAGATTAAAAATTAATAAATTATATAGAAATCTCAGGAAAATAAAATTTCAGCTCCCCGGGAAGGAACCCTTAATAAACATATGAAATTAAACCTAAAGCTTATCATAAATAAGAAACTAAAACCCCAAATGAGAGGGAATTAGCAGGTAGGGAAAATACAGTTATTTGACCCAAAGAAGAGCAATTCTTCAAATGGGCTGTTTTCTCTCCCTCACGGTAACTAACATCCGCCCCAGAATCTTCCGCCGGCTGATCCCGCCCATTTATCCACAAACTCTTACCACCACCGTCTCAGCCCACGTGGGGTTCGGGCAAGGAATGTGTTACCTGCTTCCCGCCAAATCCGTTACGCTGAGTGTGTCATTGCTCCAGTGTCCGGGTGAACTTATGGTTCAAGGGTCAAGTGTGTCAGGTGGGGTGTCGGAATTTTTGGCACACCCCGACTTCTGTCTTATGTAGGGTAATTAAACCGGGGTATATAACCTGCGAGGAAATTGGTGAAAACTACTTTCGACTTCAGAATTTGAAGCGTTTACACTAGTGGATTTTAACAGCCGTTTGGTATCACAGGTGAGGAAATGGATATCTTTCAATATTTCAACTTCGGTTACTTAGTTTTAAAGCAAAAAACATATTTAATTTATAAAAATAATGCTTTAATTTAGGTAAGACACAATAAGGTAAAAAACATGAATTATTTTTTTTAGTTATTTTCAGATATCTTAAATATTTCAAATTTCAGGTATCTTAATATATTCTCTTTGTTAGCCAAAAAAAATCTTACAATTCTTAATTAAATTTTTTATTAACTATAAGAATGCGTTTGACATTTTTTCATGTATGAAAAAGTAAATTTCGACGAAAAGGTTTTTAAAATTATGTATTTTAAGCATCATTAAATCTTAAGTTTAATTTAAAACTTATGTGTTAACATTAAAAACGAAATTTTTGATAACGTTATACAATATTTCAGGTCCATTGAAAATATAACCTTTTTGTTTTCTCAGTGTGAATTGTTTTGTAAACCTGCATTGTATTATATATGTATTAATAATCTTTAGCAATTGTTCATAATATGAATATTTTAACATAACTCGAAAAACAGGAATAGTTTTACAAATGCAACGCTTATTTCAAATTAGGCAAAATTTAACTTTAGTTCGGGAAAAACTCGGTGTAGCTGAAGAAACGTTCTTTGCAATTTAAGGGTACATTACTCTCAGTCTTTTCCTTCAAGTAGCAAAAATTAATGCAGAATCAAATTATTGAGCAGAATAATTTTTGTTTTTGAAAAAGAGAGATCTGTTTAAGATTCCCTTAGAATGCTTTCGACTTTTAACATAATTTTAAAATTCAAGCTGTTATATTTTCATATATTATACATCATGTCAATACAACGTATTCCAGTTTTGGAAAATAAATTATTTCCCTGCGGGCGAAAATTTAGTTCGCTTCATAAGTATTCCAGGTTATGAAATACTTTCGTAAACAATTTTGCAATGTGAAATTTAATTTATTATTAAGTTTCGGAAAGAATTTTACTGAATCTTCACTTATACTTAGTAAATTTTTAATAATTAATAATTATTTTTATTGCGTAAAGTTAAAAAAATCACAGGTATGAAATTTCCAAATTCATGGATTATGAAATATAAAACGAAACTCTGCTATGTGACATAGCGTTGCATTAATAAGCATATTATTATTAGCCATAAAGCTACAATATTGCTGCTAAAATTTTAAAAAAATATTATTTCACAGAAGAAAGCACATACAAAGCATGTAGAAGAAAAAAGTAGAAATTCGCGTGCATATTTCAATCCATTAAATATTTAAGTGATAGCTAAATTTTCTAGACAGTAACAGGCTACTTTGGGTTCTGATCTTCAAGACATCTAAGAAATCTTCTCATTTATCACTTTCTCCCTTAAAAACTTAAAACTGCTCTTAATGATTCTCTAAATTTCTCTTTATTTGTTTTCTCTGCCAAATAATTTTACTCTGTTTCAATATTTCTGCTTTTCTGCCAATAATACTGCTGTATTTGTTTTTTCAATAATTAAATTAAACAATGTGTACACTGAAACTAACACAGATGAATTTTTTGAAAGATTAGTGCATTACATTTTATGGTTGTTTCAAATGATAGTTTTCTATTAGTTTTCATTTTTAAGGGAAATCTTTCATGTATATCTCAGATGAAACATTTCTACAAAGGATGAAATTTTACGTACAAGAAGGAAAAATAATTCTTGTCTTGCACGTTAGTTCGAAAACAACAAAGCAATAATTTTATACATCTTAGTTATAAGTCTACTGGAGTTTGAAAAATAATTCCAAGTTTCTTAAAAAGATTTATTTTTGAATAATATCATATTCTTATTATTTCTTATTCTCGCAATTAAACAATGCATCAATAATTCCAATTTTTAAACATACTTTTTTTTCAGTATTATCATTTCTCATGGTCGCAGTTATTAATAACTTGTGCTTTCAGCTCTATGCAATATTATATTTATATTTAGTATCAATAAGAATAATGCACACTTATTATTTGGCTCAATTATCTGTATATTTTCTGTTTTTTAATGTGTCTGTGATATACCGTTATATGCGATAGATTTAAATCATTCTATATTTATTTATGATTTTTATTAAAACAAGCCATCCAGTTATCAAAGTTTTAACAACTTGATAGCTTGCTTTACTACTTTCTAAAGCCTTTAAAAATTGTTGCTTGTACTTATGCTTTATTTACAAGTTCGAACAACTCCATCTTTAACACGTTATGAACATTTATTGACGATATTCTCGCAAAGACTATTTCTTGATGGGGGTTTGACCTAAAGTCCGAGCACCCCGTGAAACACCACTCGTATCAGTATGAGTAAATTTTTATCTTTATAACTTTCCAGTGATCAAAGTTATATAGTGATTCATAGAAACTTAGTATATCTGAATCCTAGCTAAAATTAGTATATCTGAATCCTAGCTAAATTATAAAGTACTAGTTTATAGTAAACAGTAAAATAAAATTTTGTAAAAAAATTGCAAAAGAGTATTAATCTTGTATGTTCTTTGGAGCTTACTGATTCTTTTTGCTTTCTTAAATAGACGAGGAATCTCAGCTGACGAATTCTTTGCTTAGCATACGTAGCTAGCATAAAGATCCAGAGCTTTTAATACTACTTCAAATCAAAGCTTTAAATTATTATTCTAATCTTGTTTTTCTTTCATGAAAACAAGGAAAGTGAACATTGGAGTTTCTGAAAGAACTTCAATGTTCACTTTCAGAAGGACACTGATAACATTTTCCCATTTTTCCTGAAAATTATATCTTAAATTAATATATGAATGAATATTATATCTGAAAATTATCATTAGCGAATGTTTATCGCATGAATAGTTAAAAACACCTCCACAGACGTTGAAAAAGAGTATTAAAAATGCATGTTCATAAGGTTGATGGAGTAACCAATTATTTCAATTTTGGTATCATTTCTGAACTTCTTATTCCCCCACGCATTTCCTTGCCAGGATGCAAACTAAGGTAAGTGAAGAGAGTATTTAAGTGTGTGAAATAAGAAGGTTAGACAGAGTGGGATTTTGCTAGTTAGCTCACGTTGCTATTATGTCCTCTAGCTGTTAATCTTACTTGCGGCTACGCATTGAGGCCGTTTATTAAGTCTATGGCCAGTGCAGTTTATTGAATAAGCCTTTTAATTTCAAGAAAATTGTGTAGTCTAGCATTACTTTATAATTTTCGAATTTATTGTTTAATTTGATTTCTTACCTTAAATTCTCACTGCAAGTAGTCGGTGGTTTGTGAGCACAAAGTACGTGCATTTTTGTCTAAAGAGTTTGCGAATAAAAGGGCAATTTACACCCTTTCCCTGTGTTGTTACTTTTCACGCCTGTGCAAGAAGTCGTCAGACTTACTACTAAGATCAAGTCACTTGCATGATAGCGAAGTGAAATCTTACACGTTCATTGCAGCTTACTAATTCTTCTTGCTTCCTTAATTAGACAAGATATCTCAGCTGAAACATTCTTAGCTTTGTATGCGAAGCTAGCATAAAACGTCCAGCGCTCTTAATACTATTGTAAAATGTGAAATTTAAATAATATTTTCTCTCATGGAAAAAAGGAAAGGGAGCACTAGAGCCCCTGAATGAACTTTGGACATCAGAAGGTTTCAATCGTGTCCTGCTAACATTTCTCCAGAAACTTATTATCATAACGTAAAATTATGATTATAGAACATTTATCGCATGAATAATTAATAACATCTTAATAGCCCCAAGAAATTCAAGAAAGATTAAATTTTGTTTCGAGCTAATTTAATAAAGAATACCAACGTGTAAAGCTGATGGTGTTTATTCCTTAATAAAAAGTAATAAATAAATAAGCAAAATATTAAATGTACAATCCGATATTTCGTACTTCAGCTTAACATTTAAAAAGTGTTGCTAGTTAACTTCCAAATAATGCGTAATACACATCGAAAAACACAAAGTGATTTTGTTTTCTAAATGAGAAATACTCATACATTAGATTCGTAAATGTGCCAATTCAATAATGATAAAACACAAGCCAACATGAAGTTGCACAATGTAAATAAAGAGTTTTAGATCACAGTTTTAAAATTATTTTCACTATAAGTTTGCTTAAAGGCGTTTCTTGGTTAATAGAAATTAGTAGAATCACTTATAAAACGAATGAGAAGATCCTAATCTTCAAATATATTAAACCTATTCATATAATATTCAACAAGTTTTTCATTTCCTGGTATGAACAATATAGCTGCTGTTATTGTGACTTCAGTTTTGAATATAAGTAGAAAGAACTGATTGCATTTCTTCTTCTGTTCTAAGCTCGACCCAGGCAACTAATTCCACCTTTGACAGAGTACGATTTTCTTCTTTTAATGAAAGCAGAAGTTATATTCCTTTCGTATACTGAAAACAATAATCTCCTCATTCAAATGTAAAAAATCAAGAAATTAGAAGTTAGAAGGATGAGAACGGATGCAAATTTAAGCGTGTAATGATTTCCTATCTTTAAAGTTATGAAAATTCCAGATTCAAATATCTATCATACAGAAGAATTTACACAAATCTGGCACCCATTGAAACAGTTATCGGATTTCGTTTTTGCAACTGTGCAAATTTCAAAATAAAAGCTTTGCAGAAATTAAAATTTTCGCATCTTATTATCCGAAAATTAAGCATTTTAGATTCTGCTTTTACTTAGGTAAAGCTCGTATTTTGTGTAGACTCTCAAATAGAACACGTTTTCCTTATAACGCTCTCAGTATTTATTATTACACAGTTAAAAATTCTCACATGTAAATAACGTGGCTCTAGATTTACTCATCTTGTCAATAACGAAATATATTTCTATGATAACGTGTTTTCTAAATAGAGAGATTACCAGAGGAAGTTCGAAACCCAAACTCAGTTATAATCATTTAATGGTATTCGATCAAAAATTTGAATATTGCAAAAATATATAATTTCGGAGTAGTAACTAAAATTTTAGAAATTGCTATAAAATTGTAATTTTATAAAAAATGTATATATGTAATTAAAATATATACAGATAAACATGTTACACTCGTATTATATAAACAAATCTGTGCACAAATTTATAAGAAAAGACTCTGATCAACACATATATACATATTTATGATCATAAATATTCACGCTTTAGGGGCTGTGCAATGTATTCCGCAAACTTCTATTTTGTTTGCTGCCTTTTACATAATTTGTTAATTGAAATGCATATGAAGAATTTTGGGGACATTTTCTTTAAATATATATAAATATAACTTTTTTTATACTTGTATAATTGTTAATATTCTATGTTTTTTAGAATCTTGCATTTTTAGTATAGTATAGATTCAATTTTGGTCCAACTGGCGCACAGTTGTAGTTTCAGGGAACGCTATAGTATTTTTATACAATTTTAAAACAGATGTGGATTACTTACTGATAGGCAAAACTGTAGCTGTTTTGCCTAATTTTAAGTTTTACATTGGCTCTTCCAGTTTGGTAGGTGTGGAATGGTTTCTTAAAGTTGACTTAAAAGTTCAACTGTCTTCTTAAATCCAAAATAACATAATTAATAAGATATTGATGTACTTTTAAAGTTTTAATCTTTTATGTTGGTTTATTATTAAGTATGCTTATACCAAAAATTTCTAAATCAAGCCCAAAAAAGCAGGGATTATTAACTGAAGATTTATATATTCATTAACTGTCAGTATTCGTTTTATTTCTCATCATTTCTAAAGACTTATAAAGAAATATATTCGCACTTCAAAGTCAAATGCAAACTTAAATATTAACTTTCTTCAAAAGTTGTAATTAAAATGAATATGAAAATCAGATCTTATAATATGGGAAATTATATGAAAACAAAAAAGGGAGAGATATTAATTTTAATGAAAACAATTTTGTGCTATAATACTGTATTCAAAAACGATGTGTTTATTGCTCTTTTTTAAAGTAAAAATGAGAAACTGTCCCTTCGTAATATTCTGCATTTTTTTATATATCGGATGTAGTAGACATGCAGAAGTATCAAACGGACACTTTAGAGAAGAAATTTTGAATACTATCTCGATTTGTGTATTAAATCATTTATAATCTAAGCAAATAATAATTGGGAAATTTGAATCATTTATATTTTATGCTTTTACTTTTAATTAAATTTCCTCTAGAATAATTTAATAAACAACATAACAAAGCTAAATTGCCTTATAGTTTTTTTTATTATTCTTCGTTTAAATTGTATTAAAAGTTTTTACTGTATTAAAACATCTTAATTTAGGAATTAACATTTTATTCCTTTTTCCGGTATGTATAACATCCATATAAGAAGTGGATTTTATTTTAAATTTAATTTAGTGGTATTTGAAATTGTCTTACCATTGATAATACTTTTAAAAGAACATTTTACCTAATGCACGCTTAATTGAAGGTTAAGAATCAGTTCTACATCTTTTCTTGTGTACTTAATTAGATTACATATCACAGAAGAATGTGTTAATTTGATAATATGCTTTTCAAACTGATTTGAAATTACCCTAAATGTATCAAGCTACTGGGATTCAGCACGTGCTATAAATCAGACATAACAGTGTAACTGCTGCATTTTTGGCGAAAGAGCATTAGGCATGAGGAATGATCCGAGCTCTGGCGCAATTAAATGGTTCCAATAAAACAGCACAGAAATTTCTTCTGCCAGCATAAAAAGAGTTATTCTGTAAAGTTCAGCTACGAAATCAAATCAAACTTATTCCCTCATAAGCCTATAGTGAGATTTTACTTTTCTCCTACTTCGATTTATTACTAACTGAAAATTTTAAGGAATTATCATATTTTTACATACGTGGTTTCGTGCTATGTGTAATTAGCACGCCCATCTATCAAATCAGATGATCCGTGGTTTGAATCCTGCAGGGCACAGTTGATTTTACGCTTCTTGTTCCCGGTAGTCTAATATACCTTACAAACTAACTAAATACGTTTTCAAAACCACTAACTTGTTAGTAACATTAAATAAAAATTTAGAAAACTTAGTTCCTGCTAGTGGAAAGAGAGCGTGTATTCTTTAGTGCCCTAGCGTAATCGTGCTATGTCCTTTCCTTAGGTAACCCTAGGGTGTTTTGCCATAGTCAAACAATTAAATCCGCTGTAAGCATTTCTTTATATTTGCTTAAAGTGAAACTTATATCAAATGATCTAATTCAGGATAATAATTGAAAATGGATTTACGTTTATGATATGATTTATTTTAAAAAATATAAAAAATAATATTAATACTGAAATTTTCATAATTTTTTAAAAACATTTCATTATCTGTTTGCTATTGATAACATTTGCCAAGAATATGCAAATGTAAGCCGTACATCATAGTAGGTCTCTTATTAAAAGTTATTTATCCCATCATATTTAAGTATTTTCTTTAAACTAAAATTTCTTAAAGTTCTAAAAATATTAAATACTATTAACTAGAATAAAGTTAACAAATCATGGTTCTAAACATTAAAAAAAATCATATTTCTAGTGAGGAATCCCTGTAAAAATTATTGCAATATTACTCAACAAAAGAATAATGCTAAAATTTTTAAGTTCGTTTTTTTAAATCCGTTAAAATAAAAATTTGAATGTTTTAAAAATTTCTTTAGTATGTTATTAAAAAGTTAAGAGATTTAAGGCTTGTTCCGCTCAGAGCACAATTTGGAACATCTTCGTGTCTGAGAAAGGAAAAGAGAAATGCGTTTTTGAATTTCGCTTCCGAAAACCATTGATTTGGATCCTTTGACTTCTATTTTGTCGCTAAAATGACTTTATGTAATTCGCAAAGCAAAAATAGATACTAATTTTAAATTTTCTGATGTTTATCAATTAATAATTACATGAACTGTATACGAGTAAAGAAAAAATCTAAATACGAGTAAATTGAAGAATATTTTTTAGAAATCGTAGCAGGCTCGAATGCTTTACAGAGCGCGATATTTCTGAAAATAATTGAAACTTCCCTTATTAAAAACTATTTCATATAACTCTCATGACCTTCACAACTGAAGGTCATATGTCAAAAATACCCATTTTTACATCAAAGCATCTAACTATATCTAAGTTCCTGGGAAATGTTGTATGTTGCAGTATAGTAGAGTGAAATTAAGCATAGCGGAAGATCTTAAACATATTCTACTTTTTTTCACCTTTTTGAAAATGTCCCTTTTCCTATTGCGGTTGCTGCAACGATACATTATTTTTTGCGCTTAATAAGATGTGTCTTCAAAAGTAGACTTTATTAAAATGTTCCAGTCTTTAAAATGTCTCTTTTCTTTTTACAGCTCACAAGGCACCAACATGAAAAGTTTCGCAGCCATCACAATCCTCCTCGCCACCAGTTTGGTTGTCAGTGCATCTCAGCAAGACCAGACCAAAACTGACGTTATAGGTAGACACAATGATTTGGCACGTGTCAATCTGGGAACAGCAATCAGTCTTATCGTCCCAGTTGCTTTGGGTGTGGCCTTGATTGCTTTTCTTGCACCCGTATTCCAGGGACTCTTCGCAGCTCCTATTCCCTTTGGTCCCACTCTTGGTTATGCCAGGAACGGCAAATCTTTATTCTCTGGAATCACCCAAGAAAACATCATGCAAGTGCTGGACACAGTCACGAAAGCCATTGAGACCTTCGCGAAGGTTGACGGAAATGAAGCCAGACCTAAGTCCCAGTGATTTAGACTTTTAAAACTTTTTAAGCACTGTACATAGTTATTTTATAGCTTTGAATAAGAATTTAACAATCAGGAAAACATAAGAATTTAACAATCCATGTAGTTCAGAAACTTAAACTGTGTAGAACTTCATTTCATAATATGATTGTAGAGATAAGAGTAAATGTATTGATACGGTCCATGACGGCTCATCAGTATTAACATGCATTATAATTACTTTTCTATTCATCGATATTGCCCTTTACGATGATTCGCCAAGAAAAACAAAAATTATAAACCGTTCATGATCTGATAAGTGAATTATTATCGATACCTTCCTGTTGATTGAAAACGTTTAAGCTAAAAATAAGACTAAATTTAAAAATAAGTTTTGTTTCTATAAATTAATATTAAATTAGCAGTGGTTGATAAACGACAAGTACCTAAGTCTTTTAATACACTTGAAAAGTAAGCTAAAATTTCTGAACTAACGAAAATTTAAAATTTATTGAAAGGGCTAAACATTTTAGAAAATTAATATTTGTTAAAAATACTATCTATACAATTTTTTAAAAAAAAATTAAAGGAAAATTATTTTATATTTCAAATCGAATTGTAATTATTTGATGATCTTTTAAAAATAATTGATGTTTGTGAAATGTGAGGAAAGATATCAATTAAAAATGCATAAGTTCTTAAAACCTTGAAATTAGTAAAATTTAAGGAGTAGATTTAAACAGTACCAGTACAATAAAAAATATAAATACTTTTCGATGTTAATATTTTACATTTGTGTCACGTCCATATTGACGATGCAGGTCATTGCCTAACTTAAATTCATATTTGTGAATTGTTTCCATGAATGAGTGTATATTTAAGTTATTTTGTAATAAAATGTTTCCGAAATAATATATTTCCTCTTTTCTTCTTTCTTAAGTACTTTGTATATTTTTTTTAGAACAATACATTTCAGGAAACAGTGACACAAAAATTAAGTTATTGTCAATAACGTTTAATAATATTCATTTGCGTGTGTTTCAAACATCGTAAGTTATTCCAGGAGTTATCCTTAACATTAATATTCAACATGATAATAATTATAAAGTATGGAATTATTTTATGGAAAAAATACAGGTACTGAGAGATATGAAGCTGAGTAGTTTCTCTACTCAGCTTCTGCGCCATTTCTCTTTGGCAGCGAATTCAATTGAACAGTCTTCTCATTCATGAAGTTAAACACAGAATTAATAAACACTGTTGAAAGTTATTTGATATTTTTAGTAAATATGTGTTAAAAAAGCATTTATCCCTAGTTAAAGGATTGAAAGTTCTTCCTTGTATTCTAACGTATAGCATATATGCAAGTATTCTAATGTAGAATTACATAGATATTGAATTCAGACTTATCAAGAAAGTAAATAGTAGATATAAAAATATAAACATATCATTTTTAAAATTGATTAAGGTTTCTGACAAATCCTACACAAATGCTAGAAACTAAGGAGGGGAAAAAATGTATCCTTCATATGGAAAACGTTCAGTCATATTTTAGTTTTAAGCTGTTAAGTCATTACAGGTTTTTAAACTTTTGAAAAAGGAGAAATTATTTCTTACGTAAACTTACTGCTATATTTTGCAAATGCACCAGTATACCTTTTGAAGTAAATTAAAGTACAACTGCATTTTCATTTATTTCGCACTGTACTGATATTGATCAAGAGAGAAATTTTCGACGAACTTTACATGCATTTGTTAAAGAAAACGTTTCTCCCAGGGAATTAAAAAACAACAACAGCAAATCAGCATTTCACTGTAAATTTCGCAGATGTACACACTGTAAACTTCGCTGCAGATGATAATCTTGAAGAAAGAAGAGCTACTGCTACCTCAATAAGCGTCAGTGGAAACCAGGAGCATACATTAAATTTTGATATTAAATGTTAATATCTGCTGTCTTACAATTATTTATTTCCTGGAGTATAAAGATTTTTCAGGCCTTAATATAATGTATCATAATGCATTTAAGGTATTTAATTTTGATTCAATAATTAATATCTGAAATTAAGAACAAGTGGCTAATAATTATATTTAATTTTACCGCACTTTAGTTTAATTAATATACATTAAAATTTCTGTGGAAAAATCGATTTATGTTGAATGAGCCAGAAAGAACAAAAATATCTTAAAACAATTAAATTTAATCTTTAAAGTTATAAGGTATTTCTCCCGCCTTCCTAGCGTGCCTTCGTGGTGTAGTGGTCAGCACACTGTGTCGGTATTTCAGAGGTCCGTGGTTCGATTCCTGACGAATGCGTTGCTAATTTTTCAATCTCTCTTGCTTCAAAAAAATCCCAATATATAAAAGTATAATTTTTTAATTTCTTCTCATTTTAATATAAAAACTTTTACAGTTTCCTTTCGTTTATATTAAATTACTTAATATTGTTTTGCAAAAATATATTTCGGCTTGTTTTTAATGAAAACAATTTTTGAATACCTATAAAAAGACATTTAATTACAGATTTTTTTACTTTTTCACTGAATTATTAATGCCTCTAAACATAACTTATTTATAAAAGTCTAGTTCAGAAGGCCTTGCTCCATCCTGGGCATCATGTTTGATGAAGACGATAGGTTAATTATAATTCAATGAAAATTACATGTATGTTACCTAGCTGTATATATAGATATATGTTACATTCACAGTACATTAGTTTTTAGTGTTCCTTCTGTACCACCTTAACACTAAAAAAGTGAAGATATATAACTTCAATTTGTAAAGCTTCTTTGTAAGTAAGAATATTAAGTTTATCTTTAGAGCTTTCATCTTCAACAGGGAATTTTACAGGTTACGCACTTTATGATTAAAATTTCTTCTTCACTTTTTATCTTATCACCCGAAAGATCATTGTCAAGTTCCAGATCTTTCAAATTCTTAACCTTAGGATTTTAAATTAATTCCAACCATTTCCTTTACTTTCTTTACTTTGATGTCAAAAACAAAAATCCAGCATGTAGAAAACAATTTTGGAAACCATTTTCCGGAACTAAATACTAAGCAGGAAAAGCTGTTTTCATAGCATTTAGCGTTAAAATTTGAATGTCAGAATTATTAGCTTAATTTTTAACATGTTTTTATACTGCTCTCTTATGTTGAAAATATTTAGAATTTTGAATATGTTGGATAACAGTCTGCAATACACATACTGCACACTAAGCAGAAATAGAAATTCGATTTTGGAGAGGTTTTCACGCGAGACTAAGATATGCAGTTGACTAGAACCATAAAATTTTCAATCTTCTATATTTCTTACTAGAATACTTCTCATTAAATTTTCTTACTGAATGGCCAATAATTTGCTTCATCTTCCATGCTTTCGAATTTCACTCATAATTAATAAATACGCTTTCGATATTATTCTTGGAATTTAAATATTTAGAGAGTTTTAGAACAAATCTATCTTATTCTTTAATTATTTTTTTTAATTTTGCGCTTCAGAAATAGAAGAACCCAAACTCTTTCTCTTTCTATATACAGAGATATATAGATAGGAAGAGAAAGCAGGACTAAAGTGAAATGTGAAAATTATGCATAAAGATCCTCCAGATGTTGAATTGGATTTTCACATTCACGAAATGTTTTTCCTTTAATTTCCAATCCAGTTCCTTATAAAACTTTTAGAAATTTCTTATTTTAGTTTTCCACTTTTCATTACGTTTTTCTCAACTGATAGCGCTACGTTAGTTTCGGCTTATACAACTTAGCTGATTTTTCGCTTGTGTTTTTTACTCCTGGCGTATTTCCTTATCAATTTGGCTTGATTTCTTACTGGCGATAATTGATTTTACAACCATGGCTCATGCAAATACCGTGTTTACCCCTATATGTTTCACGACTTAAGATTTGCCGAGAGATTAACAAACAACTATACGTTTCCTCAAAAAAGAGATACTTTTCACAAAGAGTGTGTTCGAGTAACCACCTCTTGAAATTAAAGTGTGATTCGAAGCTATGTGGCTATGCTGCCTTCGTTCATGTCAGGAAGAAAAAAGTGTTCTAAACGCAAAGTTGGTTTGTTGGATTGCGCATTCTTTTCGTTACTTCCTTTTGTTGGATTCGCATTTTATAGGGTGGTCATAAAAAACTTTTATATAAAACTCTAGTGGCCTGTGCGCCCAACCAACAACGAATTGAAAAGAAATTCCAGATATTGTTATTTAAAGGTATCCACTCGAGACTGAGATGATTTAAATAACAAAGCTTTCACGATTACGGTTACAGTGAAAACATTTCGATACTTTTGAATAGCAACATGCAATGTTTTCCTGCTCAAATTGATCAGCGTATTGAAAATTATAAATGGCCTTAGAACGATACATATATAACGAAAATTGCTGGCCTAAACATTGAAAAGAAGAGCATTATAAATGACTAATGACAAAACAGAGTTAGGAGAATGTAAATTTATCGGCGAAATCTTAAGCTAAGAGGAGGCTCATCTTCCCTAAAAACCGTATGCGATTTGGTTAAAAACAATTAAATAATCTAGACCCACATGTGATAGACCGCTATCCGGACAACTAAAAATGTCTTCCTATTGAAGTTGTTATTGAAGAGCATAATGCGATTATTGCAGGTCCATTGCATACTGCGAGAAGTGTTGTTCACAGTTTGGAAGTACTGCTAACAAGTCCTCAAGCTTCTGCGTCTGTTCTGCTTATATTTCGATTCCAGCGCATCCAGATGCTGCAACCTGGAGACGAGGAATGGTGTGTCGACTTCCTCTTCAAACATCATGACGATAACCTGTGTCCGCTGCACATGGTGTTCCTCCACATGTCGGCAAATGTGTTAGGCAACTGCTGCAACAGCATTTTGGAGGTAGAGCCTTCTCCAGGAACTTTGCAGTTTAGTCGCCACCGCGATTTCCTTATCTCACTCCAATGATTTCTGGTTTTGGGGGTTTTGAAATCTAAGGTATACACATCAAATCCGCGAGATTTGTCAAAACTGAAAGATGTCATAAAACCTGAAGTTATAGAGATATATCCTGTGATGTTACGTTTGTCATTGTTTCAACAGTCTCCTGCATAAATATAGTTCGTGAAAAGGAGTCTGTGAAAAGGATTTAGTCTATTGAAATATAGTCTGTGAAGGTGGGAACATTAAAAACTTGCAATTCCAATAAAAAAAATTATTTCCTCTCCTCTAATGTTAACACTGGTCCTTTACAATTCTCTTTGCAAATGTTTTACGTTGCTAGTCATACGCCACTTACAGTTTTTCATTGCGCTGATCAATTTGCTCAAGATAAAAGTGGATGTTGCCATTCGAAAATTTCAACATTTTTCACTGCACCGTAAACGTGAGATTTCTATGTTTTAAAATCATGACAATCTCGAACGCATACCTTCAAAGACAATACCTGAAATTTCATTTCGATTAGCGGATAGGCCGCCAGGATTCCCATATCGGGGGTGTCTTTTAATTCACCCTGAATTTATGATATCAGGAGCTTATGTCGAGCGTGTTTTGAAAACCAAAGCTCCCTTCAAATAAATCACAACCTAAAGGTTGATAAGTGCATGAGAGAAGAATGCGTCAATCCCTCGTTATCTTATCCTATCATTATCATCTATAGACTTAAAAATTGTGCAAAATTTTAAAATTTATGATTTAAAATGTAGAAATTATTTCATCGTGAAATTCGAGAATGATTCTTGTTCTCGGTCGTTTCGTTTCGTTTAATATCGAGCAAAAGGCGTGAGGAAATAAGTAAGCCCAAATGCAACAACATAGTGCCAAAAATGCATGATAAAATACTGACTTTACTTCCATTTTTGCTCTCAGCTTTTGCACTTTCTATTCATTTTTGCAGTATTAATGCTTATTTTGGTTATGGCGTATTTA